ATGATGCTGCTTGGCCTGCTGTGTTCATCCAGCTCTGCACCTTGTTGTCTCGGATTCTCCAGCATCTGCAGTTCCTACTATCTCTCCCCAGAATATTACCTGGATTAGCAGTCCAAGTGGCCATCTTGCCCCAAAATGCATGACCGTTTTGCAAACATCAGTCAAATAAAATCAAAATACTGGAGATCCGAAATAACAACACAAAGCAATGGAGAAACTCAACAGATCTGGCAGGACCTGTTAAGGAAGAAACAGAGTTAATGACCGAGACCAGATATAACAAGGTGTTAATGGGTGGGAAAATCTAACAGTCTTTATCAAAAGACATGAAGTATTTAACAAACTGATGGGGCTGAAGGCAGACAAGTCACAAGGATCTGATGCAAAAACTGAAGTTGCTGGAAAAGCTCAGCAGGTCTGGCAGCATCTGTGAAGAAAAAAATCAGAGTTAACGTTTCAGGTCCAGTGTCCCTTCCTCAGAACTGTTATGAGGAAAGGTCACCGGACCCAGAACATTAACTCTGATTTTTTTCTTCACAGAAGCTGCCAGACATGCTGAACTTTTCCGGCAACTTCTGTTTTTTTTTTCCCCTGATTTACAGCATCCACAGTTCTTTTGGTTTTTACAAGGATCTGATGGTTTGCATCAGAGGGTTTTAAAGGAAGTGGCTGTAGGATTAATGGAGGCATTAGTTGAAATATTCTAGAACTCACTGGATTCTGGAATGGTTCCAGCAGAATGGAAAATTGCTGATGTGATGCCCTGGTCAATAAAGGAGGGAGACAGAAAACAAGGAACAATTAGCCTAGTATCTGTCATTGGGAAAATGCTAGAGTTAATTATTCAGGAAGAAATAGCGTGGCATTTAGAAAATCTGAATAGTCAAAGTTCTAGAACTAAGAGTCGAAATCTAAAGTAAAGGTATCATAGTCCTACTCTTTCATTAGACACAGACATTTGGTGGTGGTTTAACCTGATACCTCAGACGAGGAGAGTCCTTCATAGTAATGTTATCTAGTGTGGGAATGGAGCCCACACAGTTGGCATTATTTTGTGTTACAAACCAGCCTATCAAGCCAACTGAGCTAACGAACTCCCTTGGACGCAAGGTAGGTCATTTAGAACTGAGATGAGGAGATATTTCTTCACATAGACAGCGGGGAACCTGTGAAATTTTCTGCCATCGAATGTGGTTGAGGCCAAAACATTGAATGTTAGACCATAACAGCAGAATTAGAGCAGGAGTAGCAGGTCTTTTTCAGGTTGGACAGATGTAACTAGTGAAGTGGCACAAGGATTAGTCCTAGGACCTCAACTATTTACTATCTACATTAATCACTTGGAGGAGGGATAGAGTGTAATGTATCCAAATTTGCTATAATACAAAAATAGGTGTGATGTTATGTTGTGATGAGGACCTAAAGAATCTGCAAATGGATATAGATCAGTTGAGTTAGTGAGCAAAAGCTCAGCAGATTGGATTTAATGTAGGAAAGTGTGAGATCATGCACTTTGTTCGGAAGAATCAAAAAGCAAAATTTATTTAAATAGAAAAAGACTCTCATGCATGAAACAGAAGATTGGAGTGTGGTGCAGCGAGTTATTAAGAAAGCAAATGAAATTTGTGACTTTCATTGCTGGGAGGGAGGGGGAGGGAATTGGAGTTTAAAAACTGGGAAGTCTTGTTACATCTTTTCTGATGAAGGGTCCAGGCCTGAAATGTCAGGCTTTCTGCTCCTATGATGCTGCTTGGCCTGCTGTGTTCATCCAGCTCTGCACCTTGTTGTCTTGGATTCTCCAGCATCTGCAGTTCCTACTATCTCTTGTTACATTTATTCAGGTTGTTGGTGAGGCTGCACCTGGAATACTGTGTACAGTTTTTGTCCCCATATTTAAGAAATACTGACACTGGAAGCAGTTCAAAAGAAATTCATTGGACTGTCTCCTGGGTTGAAGGAGCTGACTTATCAAGAATAACTAAACAGGTTAGGCTTTTATTCGTTACTGTTTGACGAATGAGAGGTAATCTTATTGAAATGTACAAGATTCTGAGATGACTTAAGAGGTTGGATGTAGAGAAGATCTAGTCGGGACTTCTCGGACTAGGGAATATAATTCCTGAATAAGGGGCCACTCATTCAAAACTGAGATGCAAAGGAAGTTCTTCTTTCACTGAGTAGTGAATGTCTAGAATTTTCTACACCAGAGAGTTGTGGAGGTTTGATTACTGAAAATTTTAAAAGAGGAGGTAGATAGGTTCTTGAAACATTGGGAAGTTGAGGGCTATGCAGTGCGTTTATATAAATCTCTTTGTTTTCATGTTTTAGCTTTCAAACGGAGCTTTTCATTCTTCTGCCGTTCACATTCACATTGCGAAAAGGTTTTTTTTTTGTTTTCCTACAACCATGTAATTTGTCTTTTGTTCCGTTACATCTTTAACGGAAACAACCTCTCTGCTTTCACCCAGTCAAGCCCCTTAAGAGTTCCAAACTGTTTAGCCTTTGCTTACAAGACAATTCCTCCATACCAGGAATCATCCTAGTGTATATTCTCTAAACTGCCTCCAATGAAATAATATATTTCCTTAGATAAGAGGATCGAAGCTACTCACAGTACTCCAGATGTGGTCTCTTAGCACCTTGCACAGTTTCAAGATTTCTTGATTCTTATACTCCAATCCTGTTGAAAGAAGGGCCAAGATTCATTATCTTTCCTGATTACCTGCTGCACCTGTGTGCTAGCTTTCTGCAGCTTTTGTCACAAATTGTAAGAGATAAGCAATTTTCTGAAGCAAGTACTGAAGCAACAGTAATATTTTAATAAGATAAAGCAGCTGAAATGGGCTCAGAACCAATGAAGATCCCATTTTACACTGTGCCAAAGAGATTGAAAGTGAAAATCAGGTACAGTGTAAAATGAGCTGCCAATTCATTTTGTATCCGTTTTCGTTTCCCGGCAAAGACAAATCCCTAAAGGCTTTAGTTGACAACATTGCCAGTAAGTCAAACGCCATGTAGTATAACATTCAGGATTCTGGTTTTTCACTGAGGCCATTTACTCTTGGCCCCTTACAGAAATCTGTGTAAAGGCATCTGAAGTTCATAACCAAGGCTACTCTGCCCTCTCCAGGTACAGTCAAGTACTGACACTAGAAAAACCATAAAGGGAATATTGTACA